CACTTTTTGTTCTTCAGCGAGGCTGGATTTAATTTTGTTTAGCCCCTGATAACAAAGTCAGAAAGCTTGCTAACTAAAAGCTGCTTTGTGAAAGTGTTCCTTCACAGCATCTTAAGGAGCATCCCTAGCAGTTGCCCCCCAAGTCTCCCAAAAAAAGAGAATCCCAGAACCATATGGGTTGGAAGGGACCTCTGCAGCCCCCCAGAACAGGTCTCCTGCAGGAGGTTATGCAGAAAAGTGTCCAGGTGGGTTCTGAACCCTCCTCTGGAGATCCTACCACCTCCCTGGGCAGCCTTTCCCATCCCCCATAGGAAAGAAGTTCTTTCTCATCTTCAGATGGAACTTCCCACATTCTAAAATCTGCCCCAGGTTTGAAGGAAGCAGTCTGAAATAACACAGCAGCACAGCCCTGAAGGACACAGAGGCCTGCATTCACTAAAGCAGAAGTTTCCACACGTTTAGACCTTCCAGCTGCTCTAAGCTAAAGAGGAAACTTACTTGTGGGAGGGGGCTGCTTTTTCCCTATGTAACTTAGAACGCCCACTTTTATGTAAGGACCAGGGAGCAGCATGTAGGGCACCAAGGATATCTTGTGCTCAGTAACCATCACTCTCTAAGCTTCATGATCTCCTGAGAGCAGCTTAAATTATCTAGTTTCTATTACAACATATGCCTGATTGGTGATGGGAGAACTGCCTTGCAAACGTTCATATTCTCAGTGCTTAATCAGTGCACAGTTCCTGATGACCCTACAGACAGGGTCACAAAAGAGAGCCCTAAAAGAACTAGAGCTCAGCACGCTTCTGCCAGCACTCCCTTCTCCTGCACAGCACTGCTTTGGGTTTGGCTCCTGCCCCAGTGCATTGCACTGCACAGAATGGATGTGCCCAGCCCTGCTGCTCAGAAGCTGTCGGTGGCATCCAGCCCTACAGGTTGCTCTGCAGCTGCTCCTGACACAGAGATCCAGCAGCTCCATGCTGCTATTCTAGGAACACCACAGTATCTCAGACTTCCAGAGAGACAGAGCAGCAGACACATCTGCTTACTGTAACGTTGTTGTTCCCATCACATCATGATGAAAGGGGGCACAGAGGCTAAAAATGACCTCTGTGAGACAGAGCTGTTGCTCCATTCACCTCTCATCACAGACAGGACTGCCCAGTGCGAGGTGCCCATCCCTGTTGGTGACCCACACAGACTGCAGGGGCAGTGCAGCAGGACAGGCAGGCAGCTAACCCTAACTATGATGTGTACAGGGCAGGAATGTGCTTTTGTGGAGAAGGGAAAGCTGAGCCTTGCTCAAGCAGCACGACTAGCCCCTAGGCTCACTGCCATAAAAACTATGCAGCAAATTCATCCATCAGATCTGACAGCTTCTTCAAAGCATCCTGCAGGTGGGTTCCTCCGTTCCATGGGATGAGCTGAGCTCACAGCCCTCTGAAAAGCCCAGAGTGAGTGCGAGACAAGGGTCCTAACTGTGCACATACCAACAACTTGTACTTAATGCCGTCTTCCTAATCAACTTTTTCAGGCTATGAAACAGCAATTCTGTTCCCAATGCGCTCCAGAAAGATCTTTGGGAGTGTTCATCCAACAGCTGCAATGACCCTCTTCTCCTTCACCATTTGCATCTGGGTCAAACCAACGGAGGTTTTGGACAAAACCATCGTCTTCTCCTATGGAACAAAACTCAATCCCTATGAGATTCAGCTGTACCTCAGCCAGCAGTCTGCAGTACTCGCTGTAGGTAATACCCAGCACAAGCTGGCTGCCAGGAATGTGGTGTTTCCTGGGAAGTGGATCCATCTGTGTGGCACCTGGAGCTCGGATAATGGGACCGCATCGCTGTGGGTGGACGGAGCGCAAATGGCCACAGCCGTGGGCATTGCTGACACTCACGTTGTTCCTGATGGAGGAATTCTGCAGATCGGCCAAGAGAAGAACGGCTGCTGCGTTGGAGGAGGGTTTGATGAAGCTTTGGCCTTCTCGGGAAAGTTGACAGGGTTGAACCTGTGGGACAGAGTGCTCAGCACTGAGGAGATAGCAGCGCAGGGCGGAGAGGATGCGTGCAGCTCTCGGGGCAACATTGTGGGCTGGGGAGTCACGGAGGTTCTGCCATATGGAGGAGCTCAGTATGTTTCTTAAGCCCCAGTAAAGCAGTTTCTGAAGCAGAGCACATTTCGTTAAGAGCAGAACACCAGTGTACGTACAAGGAACGGAGCTGAAGAAGCCTGTATCTCTCCAGCTCCCAAGGCAGATTAGCACCACAAACTTAGGCAGGGAGATGCTCTGGGGGTGGGATTTGATCTCCGCCTGCTGTTTAGGCAGAACACTGAAAATACCACATCCAGACTTGACATTGGATAAGCCATTCCTGAGGTCAGACAAGCACCATCTCTCTAACTTATGCTGAAAGCTGAGTGCCACTGTGGGCACTGCAGTGCTTCCCGGGGCTCCTGCCCAGACCTGGCAATGCCAAGCAGGGGCTGCACACCTCCCAGCCTTCCCTGGCCATTGCTGCTCGCCCTCTGACACGAGCCGTACAAGGGAAGCCCATCAGTCAAGAAGCGTGTTGTTTATTAAGTGTTGTTAGTAATTTGTAGGCTACAAATAGAACTAGCTTCTTGTTTAAAGCATTTTTAGTGCCACCGACTGACCCGACATATAGGAGTAATATTCACCATCATAATCTGATGTTACGTTTCGAGCAAGTGCAGCTGTATTATACTGTAAATTGACTTTGTCGTAATTTTATTGAGATTATTTTTGTAAAGTTGTTTTGTAAATAAAGATACTTTACTAAACAAAGGCCTTCTGTGGTTTTCATCAACCGAAGCTATAATAAATAGAAAACTGAATTTTTCCCCATGTTTAAGTGCTGCATTTCAATAGCTAATAGAGAAGAAACAAATATCAAGTCTGATAGAGATGGAGAGCCCCTCAGAGGGCTGCAAGCCAACACCAGCCAGCAGCAGCTCCCATCACTGCACTCTGAGAAGCTTCTTGACATTTGTTGCCCTGCTCATTGCTTAATACAACGCTGCTAGCAAACCCTTCCTTCCACAATACAGAAGTAGTAAGAAGTAAAAGTGATGATGATGCCATTTCCACTTTACTGTGCCATTTGGGGGGGTTGTGCTTTGTGGCTGAAGCCACATGTTCTGTTTCAGCATTCCAGCCATGCTGTACATTTAAGGGAAAAATAAATGCTCAGAGAGCTGCAATTTCCACCGCAATAGGAGTTAGCTAAACACTCAGCAATGAGCACAACAGAAAGTCCTTACAAAATAAGGTCTGCAAGTAATCTGAATTATGGGATAGTGAAAGGTTACCTCTGGTCATCTGCTGACTTCAGAGGAGCACTCAAGTTCCCAGCATTGTGCAAGCACAGAAACACTCTCAAACCCTCTTTCCATACGCTGCCCTCCGTTAAGTGAAAACAAATGTCCCTGAGATGCAGCAGAACCAGCAAAATCCTCACAGATTACCAGCAGTGGTTCCTGGCTGCTTTTCTTGCCATTCCTCATACCTGGGATGCTTTGGTTTTTGGGAAGCCTTTTGCTATCTCCGCACTGCTTTGGCCCATTACCAAACACAACCCAGTCATTCCCACTGACTCAGCTGGAATGCTTTCCAACCACTATTGCTTTGCAGCCACTGTGGATCAGCACAGCTTCCCCAGCAGCCAGCAGCCTCCTCCATCAACACCCATCCCCTCCCCCCCTAGCTGAGCTCTATCTGTAACAGTCCCTTTGCCTGCTTGGAGAACACAAAATAAAAGTACTTGGGAGAGCACTTTGCCAGCATTACCAATGCAGAGTGCAGCTCCTGCAACCTGCAGCTCCCCTCTCTGATATCCACAGCAACATCTGCTGGTGGAATATCATACATACAGGAAGGCTAGCAGTCAGCTGTGGATGTTTGCCACTCTTCCACATTCATGACTATACCGTAAAACTCATCACACTCCATGTTTCCATTCATCCCCAGTGGTAATACACAACATAAGCATCTAAATCCAATGCCACAAGCCCTAAAAGAATGATCACTACTAACCCACAAAGCCACAGGGATATCCTGCTCTTGGACCAGTCATTTTGTACTATCCCACAGCTCATACTTATTGATCACATTTGTCCTTAAACCAATTAGACTAATTTGTACCATCTTAAGCACCAGATTACTTTCCAGCTCAGGGTATCCCTCCAAATATTAAAAAAATATATAAAAATGCCCATTAAAAAAAAAAAAAAAAAGCACAAAATTAATTTGAGAGCTTAACATTTTCACAACAATATTCATGGAATAATTAGACAGCTGTTGGCAATTCTTACTAATTACCTGTGCTGGGAAAAATAAACTGATTTTGCTACTACAACAGCACTGAAATTGACAACGTTGTCCAAATTGGAATTCCTTCTTTAGAGCTCTGAATATTTCTGGTTCCCTTTTAAACCACAGAAGTAAAATGTGAAGAGTTTAGCAGCAGAACCATCTGAAGCTACTAATGTAGGCGAGACTGCAGCATCACCATAAGGCTTTAACATCTGACACAAGGTGGGATCCATTCCATCCTCATTTCTATTTTGGAGTATTGCCAGTGACACTAACAGAAAGGATAAGAGCCCAGTAACTGCAGCCTCCTATCACAGCTCGTTACTTGCAGTCCATTAGCATGGTGCACTAACAGCTACAGATAGATTTCCTGCCCTGGGGGTCACCCAATCTACAACGAATCTTCTGTAGTCCAAAGGGTTCATTAAGTTCACATATTCTCGAGAGGTGTTCCTTGGTTAATTTCTGCTAATTTAGATTGCCTTAATCACTTAATCACACATTTATGAACGTTTGTATGTTCCATACACACACGTCTGACACAGGGTGGGCTCAGTGATCTAGTATGAAATGTGGAGGTTGGTGGCCCTGCCTATGGTGGGGGGTTGGAGCTTCGTGATCCTTGAGGTCCCTTCCAACCCTGTGGGTTGGATCTACGTTCGTACCTTGAAGGACGCTTCTGACAATGGCATCTGTGTGATCAGCCAGCAGCTCTGCTTCAGCAATGGCAGCCAGGGAGAGGTAGCTTGACATGTTTCTGCACAGCTCCTTATTGCCCCTCTGAAGGAATTTCACCGCCACTGGGACGGCCAAGGCCATCACCGAAGGGCGGCTGTAATTCTGCAAAAACATGAAGAAGCTCTGAAAAATAAGCGGCCGAAGTGAAATAAGACATCTCCTGCTGATAGGAATTGAAAAATAAAGATCAGAACAACGAGGGGGGACAGGAAAAGCAAAACAAGGGGTCAAGAAAGCTTACGCTTTGGTGACAGCACTGACAGCAGGCTTCAAAGAAACAGCAAGGAAGGAAATCTAAAACTGCTGCAGCAGGAGATGATTGCACACACATTTCTGTATTTTGCAAGAGGAGAAAACATGATATTTAGTACACAACATACACATCAACTGCTGCAGCATTTTGACCAATTCATTTTGCGTTTAGTGCCATCAGAGAGGACAGCAGAAGCCATATCCACCAATTCAAATAGAACGGGCTGCTTTCACCCCAGTGCACAGCAAACCCCTCAGAGCAGTTCCTCCTGCTGGGACCCACTCATGCTGCTCACTGTGCCAGCAGAGCCCAGCCCAGCAGCCAGCCCTGCAGAGTGCAAAGCAGTGTGTGCCTGCTGCTGAGAGCTCAGCTTCCTCTCCTCTGCCCTTCATCCTCCCCTCTCTTGTCCCCTTGCCCAGCTCTCCAACCCCAACTGGGGAAAACTGATCACATCCAAGCTGCATTCACTGCAAAACAGGACATCAGTATGCTGGATTAACACACAGGAGCACAGGTCTTCATTACATTGGGCCCAACAGTGGTTATTTCTGAGCTTCTCGTCCATTGTTGTGTTTTTAGGAACTTACAGCAAGGCATGAGTACAGCAGCCATGTGTGGTGACAGCCCACAGCCCTGCAGCATCAGTCACCACACTGCTCAAACTGCAGCCCTGTGGCATGCTTGTGAAGTAAGCGAAAACAGAAAAGCCCTTTTTTGAAAGGCAAGGGAGAGGTGAAAAATAACTGGACTCTGGAATCCAAATCATACCTGTCAAATGAGGAAGAGCACACACGAGCAGGTGCACTGGTAGGCTTGCTCACAGGTTAACCATCAATTTTCCTCTGATAATTACGACTTCCTTTCTTAAATTGCAGCCAATTTCTCTGAACACCAGGGTCAGTGAAAATTGTTCTTATGCTTTGGCACTGAAGAAAACTGTCTTCTGACCTCACACTGGTGAGGTGGAGGTCGGCTTCTTCTCCCATGTAATAGGCGATAGGACAAAAGGGAATGGCATCAAGCTGTGCCAGGGGAGGGTCAGGTTGGATATAGGAAACATTTCTCCTCCCAAAGATTGGTCAGAGAGCAGTGGGGTCACTGTCTCTGGAGGTGTTCGAGAAGTGCTGAGATGTTAGACTCAGGGATATGGTTTGGTGGGGAAATACTGGTGGCACGGTTAGACTGGATGATCTTGGAGGTCTTTTCCAACCTTAATGATGTTATGAGAATGGCACCAAGCTTCAGCAATCCCAGGGCTACCTGCACATACACCTTGGTGTTGAGATCAGAGCATGGAAGGATTTTCTGCAGCTGTATGTGAAATAGTATGCATGGACTGCACACGTCTATTGCCCATTAAGCTCCTGTACGTAACCGCCCTTGAAGCAAGCAGGACACATTTGTTTATGTGCAGTTGAGGACCTACATCCCTTCTGAAACCTCCTTAAGGAGTGCTTGTCTCTCATCTTCCCTCACTTTTGAGCATCTCTTTGAAATCAGAATACAGTGATTTTGAAAAGAATCCCGCAATATGATTATATTTAATTAGAATCTGAAATCACAGGCAACCAGTGGACCCCAGATGTTCCAGAAAGCAACAAAATAGTGAACAACAGAGGTAGTCCAGAGTGAACACACGCTCGTTCTGGAGCAGCCCTGATAAAAAATACATTTAAACCCAAGAAAAAAGCAACTCTGTTGTACATATAGCCAACTCTACCTCTGTGAGAGGGATCTGCCCTGGCCATCAGCCTCAGAAGAGCAGGACTGGCCCTAATGAAGGCTAAGCTTGCTGCTCAACAAGAACAGAAAAGCCAATCTAAGAGGCTACAGGGACTACAGGGACTGCTACAGCCCCTTTCCACCAGCCCCTGTGTAAGATTGGGCTGCAGCAACTCCAGGCGTTGAGGCAGCTTCTTGTGGCAACAGCTGTGTGACCAAAACTGTGTTTCGATGAGAAAAGCCCTCAAAACGAATAGATCTGTAGGCAGCAGCATGTTTAAATCAACATAATGCCTTGTTACACTTTGGATGAGAGATAGCAAGTAGGAGCCAAATTCTGCCTCCAAGTTACACGCTAGGACTGCGTGCAGAAAGGATGAGAAGATAAGGCTCAGCCCTCTGATGAGTGTTTAAACAGATCTAAAAATTCTGAAGAATGGGATATTTTTTTCCTATAATAAAGATAAAACACCTAGATAAGAAAAGGCTTTAATTCCAACAGAAGAAAGGTTTCATCTGTTCCACTGTAAGCATCAGGGCATGACAGCACACTTAGGAAATTGTGAGGGTGACAATGAAAAACAGATTTTAATAATATGATATAGTGCTGTTTGCAAACCTAGGGGACCTCCCTGCTGCTAATATCAACAGCAACACGCTGTGAGATTCAACCCAGCTGTCAGATATTCATTACAACTTCAACTAACCCTCACGTACCGCATTAAAAACTCAGTTCATGCCTGCCTTTGTGTTTTCTTTCATGCAAAGGAACTTGCTGATAGCAGCTCTGTTTCAGAGAGCAGTAAATGCTTTTATGACTTTCTCATCTCATTTGAGTGAACTCCTTTCTCAAAGCAATCTGTAACAGAGCAATCCCTAAAACATTTGGATAAGGGAACATAGCTGCCAACAGTGCAGACCGAAAGTGAGGACAAGCCATTGCATTCCTCAGTATGGTTTTTAAGGTACTACGAAGACAAGATATGTCTCCAGTCTGGAAAATTTAATCTGTGCTGTAGCTGGTGTCCAAACCCAGCTACTCGATGCTGTTTTCTTCCTAAAACCCACAGCAGTGCACTCCAAAGCAACTGTTTCTCCAAATGATGGTCCTGTGGCTCCCCCTGTAACTCCTACATGTAATGCAAATAGTAAGAATTAAAGGAGCATTAAGACAGTGAGATCTGGCACCAGGTAGGTGCAACATTTCTAAAGATAAGGAAGCTGAAACAGATTTGATTCTTGAAATGGATGTCACGTAGTAATATACATTAGCACTGGGGGTCGAATTCTTGGTTTTAAAGACATGCAGCCACTCTCACACACCCTCAGATAACACAGAGTGCTGCTACCTCGTAGGAGATAAAGCTGAACAGCTGAAGAATGCATGACACTCCTTGTTTGCAGCTCCCTCTCACCTGCAAGATGCAGCTCATGATATCAGATGCAATTTTCGCATGCGGTGTGTCCTCATCTTTGCCAGAAGGCTTCAGGTTGTGCTCCAGACACGACTCCCACAGAGCCACCAGGGCCTTCCCATGCTTCTCTATGGACTCCGTCTCCCTGATGGCAGTGGTGATGCGAGTGATGCAGATTTCCACAACGGCCTGGTCGTTGTCATTAGTTTGGTAGTCCTGGTTGAAATAAAGAGACGTGTGCCAAGCACATCTGGGAGCAGACCCCACTGCATTAACCAGAAGGCATGAAGGTTTGGGGGCTGCCCAGTGTTTGCTCACTTCCACCTTTGCAATGGATGCTTATCTTGATTGAACACAGATCAGATGTCATAGATGATATGCTGCTTCAAGTGCTCATTACTGCTAAGATGAGGATTATGCTATCACACGATTCTTAATAGGCTGCCCTTCTTGATGGCCTCAAGCTGCACCAGAGGAGGTTTAGGTTGGATATCAGGAAAAGTAACTTTACAGAAGGGGTTGTTAAGCACTGGAATGGACTGCCCAGGGAGGTGGTTGAGTCACCATCCCTGGATGTGTTTAAAAACCATCTGGATGTGGTGCTCAGGGA